AAAAAAAAAGTTGGGGAGGGTTGCAGCTAAGGGGTTGAAAAAAAAATTCATTTTATTGCCAAAAAATGCGTACAACGTGAAATCAACTGACGTGTTTCAGAGTTTTTTTCCTAAAATACTGGTTAAAGAGATATTAATTTTATTCCGGACTTTTGCGCACCCCTGTATACTTTGCATATTCATTGAAATATAAATTCATAAATTCATTGCATATAGATGAAAAACGAATTATTTCGGTTTTCTGCAAATATTTTGACAATCTCATTTTTTGATAAATTACTTGATATTCGCTAGGTAAAAAGTTTGAAGACCATTAAAAAAACAACAAAAAACTTACCGCATTAGACCTACAGTTGCTTTAGCCAAAGAATTGGATGTACTACTATTGCTGCAGTTGTTACTCTGGAGAGCAGATAATTTTTTTGCATATAATATATCTCCACTGTTATTTACAGACATCCCTTGAGGATTTGCTTTGCTTGCTGGTCGAAAAGCATCATTGAAAGTATGGTGGTATATATTGAAATCCTGGAAAAACAATTTATACAAACGTATATTCAACTTGTGTCAAGAGATTTTATGTAATTTCAATTTTATTTAACAAACAGTGATTTTTTTTCAAAAAGTACTTTTGTTGCATTGAGGCATGAAACACTATATTTTATAAATAATCACTAGTCTATGGACAATTTTCTAATTCGCTAAAAATCAGTAATACTGATACCTCACTAGAAATTGAGATGTTGTTAGAATTGACTGTTCGTATTGTTCTTGTGAATCAACTGTGCCAACTTTGGCCAAGTAGATCCACCCCAATGACAATGATAATAACTATTCTGCTGAAGAAATCAGAAGATCATTGGATTAAAAAAAATGTGTTGAAGTAGTTTCGGGAACTATTTATTTTTGCAAACCACATCATGTAACAAACTTTCTATTTTTACACTGTGGAAATCAAAATATTATCTTGGTTATTTAATTGAATAAAAATACCATTCTT